AGCTTTGAGAAAAATACTAATCCAAAAGATTCCGATTACGAGACCGAAACCAAATTCGAGTTAGAACATAGTAAACCCAAAGACGAGCTGAAAAACGAGATGGAAAACATTGTTTATACGACCATGGAGGCATATAAAAAGAGAATCTGAGAGGACACCGGTCCCGGTCTAGTAAAACCTGCAATTCTAGTTGCAGCCACATTCGAGCTGAAGGAACACATTCTGTCTGCACTTACAGAAGTACCTTTTTATGGGAAGGATCATGAGGATGCTTACAAGCACCTAGATGAAGTCAATGACATTTCTGACTACTTTAACATCCCAAATGTCCCACACACTATTGTTTTTCTTAGAATGTTTCCCGTTACTTTCAAGGGGGCCGCTAAAGATTGACTAAAAGCACTTCCACCTGGTGCAATTACTACTTGGGCACAGATGCATGAGCATTTTTTGGAACACTTTTTCCCACCTTTAAAGGTTTTTAAACTCAAGAAAGCTATAGAAAGTTTCAAACAACAACCGGGGGAGTCACTATATGAAGCTTGTGAATGCTACAAGGGATTAATAAGGAATTGCCCCCAAAATGACTTAAATGAACAACAAGAAGTGTCTATCTTTTATGATGGGGTTAATGTCATGACAAGGCAACTCATTGATTCTCAAGGACCATTGACTAAGAAAAACCCGGTTGAAATCAAGGAGTTAATTGAAGAGTTTTCCAAGCATTCTCATGAGTACCATAATCCTAGACATGGTGGAGAAAAAGTAATAGGTAATGGAAATTCTGAAGATATAGATGTTGTTTTAGCTATGTTAAACACAATGGACCACACTTGACCAAAGATTGCCACTTGGATGATACTGGGAATAAGAAGGCTCAAGTGTTTTACTCGAGTGGAGATAAGTATGATGAAGATTGGAGGAAACCAAAGAATGAGTGTTACCATATGAAGAATATAAGAAGAAAAAAGAAGAAAAATATAAGAAGACTGACTGAGGCTTCTACCAACAAGAACAACCGCCACCGGAAAAGAAAGTTGTTCTTGAGTCCATGCTAGCACGCTTTATGGAGGCTTCGGAGAAAAGACATGATGAGAGCGATGCGGTGATAAGGGAACACCAAAATCTCATGAAGGATCAGCAAGCCTTATTAAGGAATCAGCAAGCATCAATCCAAAATATTGAAGCCTAACTAGGACAACTAACTACTTTGGTACATGAAAAATTATCTCTAAAAACTCTCGAGAAAAAGCCTCAACCACACGTTATGGTGATGGAAACTGAAGAGGACACCATCTCTGAGTTCCTTGAAGCACTTGAAGTCGATCCACATCAGTCCAGACCAAAGCCAAAGAAGTCAAAAGTCGAAGAAAAAAATGTAGTTGAAACATCAAACTCACGACATGAGCATACAAGGCTCACGACGTGGGCAAGGTCTGATCAGAAAAATATTAGTGACATTCAAGCTTATCGTCCTCCGTTACCATTTCAAATCATGAGCTCATATTCACCCACTGGAGCAGGAACACTTAAATTTTATGAAGCAAGTGAAGGGTATTTCAATCAATACCCCTTTCATTGAATCATTGTCTAAAGTTCTTGAATATGCTAAGTTCTTGCAAGATCTGCTTGACACTCGCCAGCAATTAGAAAAGAATAGCAAGGTGATCCTTAGTAAGAAAAGTTCTAAGGTGATATTGGGAGAGTTACCGAAGAAAATGGTAGATCCCGGACGCCTCACTTTACTGTGTGAATTTGGAAATAATACAAAGACTTATGATTTAGCTGATTCTGGAGCTAGCATAAATCTAATTCCCTTTTTGTTCTATCAAAAGCTCAATCTTACGGATTTAAAGGCTACAAAAACGACAATTCACATGGTTAACCGTTCAGTGACACATCCAAGAGGAATTGTGGAGGATATTTTCGTGAAAATTGGAAATTTTGTTTTTCTAATTGACTTTTGTTTTGGACATGAAGGAAGATGCAAATGTCCTCATAATTCTTGGGCGCCCTCTACTTTTGACTTCATCATCTCACACTTTAAAAGTATTCTTTTATAAGCTAGGGCCTTGATAGACATTCACGAGTCAAAATTTACTTTAAGAGTGTGAGATGATGAAGTTACTTTTGGAGTTGAAGACGGATATCAAAATGGTGATGCTCAAGGTGAAGTTCTCAACATAGGAGAAGAAAATGAACTTGAGGAATTGGAAAAAAACTTATGGAAGAAGAAATTCAAAAAGTTAAACGCACAAATCCAAGAGCATCCATTCCAATGGTTTTTGAAGTACTTGGAAATAATACAAAGACTTATGATTTAGCTGATTCTGGAGCTAGCATAAATCTAATGCCCTTTTTGTTCTATCAAAAGCTCAATCTTACGGATTTAAAGGCTACAAAAACGACAATTCACATGGTTAACCGTTCAGTGACACATCCAAGAGGAATTGTGGAGGATATTTTCGTGAAAATTGGAAAAATTGTTTTTCTAATTGACTTTTGTTTTGGACATGAAGGAAAATGCAAATGTCCTCATAATTCTTGGGCGCCCTCTACTTTTGACTTTATCATCTCACACTTTAAAAGTATTCTTTTATAAGCTAGGGCCTTGATAGACATTCACGAGTCAAAATTTACTTTAAGAGTTTGAGATGATGAAGTTACTTTTGGAGTTGAAGACGGATATCAAAATGGTGATGCTCAAGGTGAAGTTCTCAACATAGGAAAAGAAAATGAACTTGAGGAATTGGAAAAAAACTTATGGAAGTAGAAATTCAACAAGTTAAACGCACAAATCCAAGAGCATCCATTCCAATGGTTTTTGAAGTACTTGCTTATAAAAGAATACTTTTAAAGAGATCCAAAATTTAAGAAAAAATTGAATTCCAATGGCTTTTGAAGTAATTGCTTATAAAAGAATACTTTTAAAGAGATCCAAAATTTAAGATAGAATTGAATTTATCAAGACATAGTTCTCTTTTATAATTAAATTTTGTATATATTTGGTTGCAAAAAGGAAATGATTTTTTGTTCAAAGATATTACTAGAGAAATGGATGTTATAGTGTTTGTTCTGTTAAACTGTGAATACGACCAGAAAAATATAATTGAATTTATTGTTAGTCCTAACAACATTCCGAAGATAGTCGAGAGGTGGCCCGATGGCAGTTGTTAGCAGCTGATTGTAAACTTGGGAAAATTAGAGGTTTCTTCATATAAAATAAATGTTTGATATATCCAAATGTCTTTAATAATAAAATAAAAGAATTAACATTTTTTGGTTTTTATTTGAACCCCCCCCCCCCCCCCTTCCCTCTCTCTCTCTCTCTATCTATCTATATATATATATATATATATATATATATATATATATATATATATACACACACACACACACACTAGTGGTGTAGCTGCGCAAAGCGGCGACAGTGAATAACTTCTTTAGGTGCTATTTTTCTTTTACAAAATTATTGTATTCCAAAAATAATACATGTCTACGACAATAGAATCCAACATAGGCCTTAGTTGTGACATGATACATCAAATAATCCATAAAAAACGGTTTAAAACCACACAAGTTGTACCTAAAAGTAGCAAAAAAATCACAACATATAAAGATATATATTAATTTAATTGAATTATATAATAACGGTACAAATTGTAAATTGGAAAAAAGTTAATAAATAATAAAGCCTAATATTTTATTATCATTAGCTTGTACTTAATGCATCAAAAGTTTTAGATTCCTAAAAGGTTACAATAGAGCCTAATCTTTTATCACCGTCGTATACCAAAAAAATTGTTGATGACTACAAAGTTAGATCATTGTACAAATCTTAAGTTATAACATCCAACTTACAACATGGTGGTCTAGAAAAAAAAAATGGTTTACCCTTCTTTTAAGATTTTTAGAGATAATTAAACACAAATGACTTTATGATATAAAAGATCACTATGTTGCGAACGTATAATGATTAGACAAGAGATCCATATGGTATATTTATTCATGACAACTATAAGAAAACTACAACAAAATATTAATACTTCCACTTGAAAATGACAAAGACTTCAAGGGTAAAATCGTCCAAAATATAAGTTCGGCAACTTGTCCAGCCAAGCATACAACCTATGTTATCACTTTCAACATCTCTTCATCATATGCTCTAGTAAGGGATGTGCTTTTCTAGAACAAATATGTTGCAATTCCAACTCTTGTAACACATGTGACATTTCATCCATTATTTAGATTAATCTTCAAACTTAGCCAATAAAATAAAAATGCTAAACAGAGTCGGATAGAGAAAAGGCAATGCAGAACACCAATTGTGTGTATCTTGATATTATAAACAAATCTCTTTTAAATCAACATTTAACAAAGATATTTATTAATAATAAAAATAAATTAATAAAGACTAATATGAAGAACAATGGATCATTTCATGTTTGTGTGTATCCTTGACATTATAAATAAATCACAACCCCTCTCTTTTAAAATTGTTGATGGGTGATTTAACCCTTTATTAGTTTCCTGCAAGCAAGAAAATAATCAATTAACAAAACCAACAAAGTTTAGGGTGCTAATCCAATTAAAGTAAAATAACAAACCCATAATTTCTCACTATATTCAGCCATCTTGAATTGCAATACCTCGTTTATTGTTGGAGGTTTCCCATATTAATAGTATATTACACATCTTGGCAATAAAATTTATTGGCTTTCAAAGCACCTATAACAAATATGCAAAGCCTTGAGGTGATAGGAAATGTCATTTTGGGAAGAAATCATTCGTCTACTCTCGTTCTCAGATTGATCCAAGGATATATGCCTTACCAATCCAGCTACGTTTTCTACAGACTCTTTAGCAACTACAACCCGCACCATATAGAAAGAATAAATCTTTTTTATAAAAAAAAAGGCATGGCCCAACACCCAATTTTTTAAATAAAAAGAAAAAGAAGACATACAACTCTAGGGTGAAGCCTAACGACTCCCTATGTATCAGCAACCTCTTAAGCATGTGAGTCGTATGAAAGGGGTAAGATGTATTGCAGCATGTGTGTGTACATGTGTGGCTTGCCAGACACATTCACAACCTTGACTTCCTGAGTAGAAGCTTTCACCAGCCTCTCCATGGGTTCTCTACTGAAAAACATAAACATAAATATGCATATTAAGGCTATGTTCCTATGATGGAATGCAATCACAGAGAAATGGAATCAGTAAGGTAAAGAAATGGATGATTACCTATAATATCATGTTCAGTTGGCTTGTAATAAATAAAGAATAACATTAATTTTTTATTTTTATACATTTATTATAATTAAAACCATGAAATATAAAATATAATTATAATCGAAAAAAATATTTTTAATTAGTTTAAGAAAGCAAAAACTATTTATTTCAAAGACAAAATTGCAAAAATTGTCCCTATGGTATGCATTTTTTGGGGTTTTAGTCCAAACCCCGACTTTTTTGGATTGGTGGTCCTTTTGAGCTGTTTTGGTCCCTGTCCAAACTAAAAAGACTATTATACCCTTAACGAATTTATTTTTCATTTTTCTTTCACTTTTTAATATTATTATTATTAAATATTAAAGTGGGCCCACTTATCCTCTCTCTCTGAGTGTGTATTCTACTGTATGAAAAATATTTCCCCATTTCTTCATCTTCTTGATTCCAATCATCCACCAACACTGATGGCATGGCTACCCAAGCTTCCCTCTTTGCATTCGTAATCCCCAATCAAACCTCCCCATGGAAATAATCACAACTCACCTCCTTCAACAACATCAAACCATCCAAACCCACCACCCGTTTCAACACCATCAAGGTTGCAGTGACATGGGAGGTCCCCACCAAAGAAGCTCCGATGAGATTCATCCCACGTGAACTCGACCCCAACACCTCATCTCCAGTCTTCGCTGGAATACCCCACCGGAACAGCTCCCTCCGCCACTCCCTGCTGCCATGGTAAAAACCCACCACCACTGTGTTTATTTTGCTTAGTACAGGAGCCCCAAACATCCCCGACCCTTACTCCTTCCTCCCCTCGTATCTCACACGTCGATTTCTCCCCCTTTATCGACCACCATAGCAGTTCCCTACAACAACCCCTCTAGATTTCTTCCCCCTTTATCGTCTCACCCCTTTCTCATCGAACTAGAATAAGCTTTAGGGATTTCAAAAGATGAGGCGGTTCATAACATCTTATTCACAGTTTGTTTCAATACTTTTGGGGGATCAAGATTTTGTTTCCCAATATACTAAAATGGCTCGGCCGTGATGGAACTAATTTACATACCCAATTGGTGGAGGAGATCATAGGTGCGATCAAAACCCACGATGGTGGGAAGGTGACGATGGTGGCAATGGAGCAGATGCCCTTGATGAAATATGTGGTCTACGAGTCTCTTCGAATCGAATCACCTGTAGTCTTACAATCGAATCACACGACGCCATTTTCAAAGTGAAAGAAGGGAATATGTTATTCGGATACCATCCATTTGCGACCAAGGATCCCAAAGTGTGTGACCGTGCGGAAGAACTTGTTCTGAATCGGTTTGTGGGTGATGGCGAGAAACTTTTAAATTATGTGTCGTGGTCAAACGCCTTGAATGAGCTTGAAGAATGATTGAGCTATGTCTAAACCTTCTTGATCCAAGGTTGGAGATGATGCGGTTTTTTGCATTTTATACCACTTTGACAGAGACGGTGGTTTGGGTTTTTTTTGGGGGGAGAGAGAGAGAGAGAAATGTGGGCCCAAATTAGTTAATTAATTTATTTTTCATTTAAATTAAATAGAAAATACATAAAAAAAATATCAGAAGGGCATAATAGTCTTTTCAGTTTATCGGGGGACCAAAAACGCAACGAAACTAGGTCAAAAGGACCATCAATCCAAAAAAGTCGTGGTTTGGACTAAAACCCCAAAAAAATGTATACCACAAGGACCATTTTTGCAATTTTGTCTATTTCAAATTATGAAATGTTTAGAAACGTTATTTTTTTTTATCGAAAAGTATATATATAAAAATTGTAATATTCATTTATAATATATCATTATGTTTCATCAAAAGAATGAAAGAATACCACTGCCTAAGGGGTAACCAAACATGATTTTCTCATTCAATGCTCCATTCAACTACCTCTTCGATTATTGAAACTAAACACTCCCTAAGATGGTGTTTAGTATGATGGAAAGGAATGGTTCATTCTAGCAGAATGAAAAAGGTTGTTTGTTTTGTCCTAAGAAATGGAGCAAACCATTCAAAAAGGTTCTATATTTCTATTCGATTCCATCCAACCAAAGAAACCCTAAATTTTTAACATCCACTCAGTGATACATGCACTCTGGAAAAAAAATCAAATTTAATTTATAGATATTAAATATTAATATATATAATTAGACTTGAAATTATAGTACTCACTTTGTAAGGTACTACAAATAATCAGATTCATCTCTAGTAACATTTAGTTGTTCATATAACCCCTCCATTGATAAAGTATCACTGCTATCTGAAAATGGAGATTCTTCATTGTATGATTGTCATGAATACAATCCAACATTGTGGTTGGAGCATTAACCTGGAAATTAAGTTACAAGTTTGAGTTTTTTGGACAAAAAAGGGTATAAGGTAGCATATTAGTTTTATTAATACCTTTGTGGTGTTGAAAACTTCCATCTTATGGTAATAGACAAAGGAGGGAGGTCATATTGGGAATTTCCAAATGTCATTTTTGCTGAATACTAACACAAAAAACATTATTCTATGAAATGTTATACATCTGTAACAATCAATAAAGTCCACAATCACGCTTCCGACTGGAAGTTGGTGGCTGCACATCACCACACGAACATAATACAACATACACAAACATCACCATACAAATATAGCAAAACATACACATATAGGTGACTACCAGAGGCTGTTTCACCTCCTTTTATTACATGAGTAGAAGATCCAAACTTAAAATCATATTTTTGTAAAGGTGAACTCATATAGGCTCCACAATAATAAGTCTCATATTTTGACAACAATTTTACAGGTTGGTAAGCAGAAGAATACCCGAGATTAGACCAGTGACTAGAGACCAGTACCACATGACTTTATTTCTACTATGTTCTCTGATGCTAACTATTTATGTGTGTTCCTTTGGAACCAGAAATGCATCATGTTCCTTAACCGGATTATCTAGTCGCACGCATTCTAGGTAAATAAACGTGAACAACGAAAATGAAATTAGTCCCGACGGAAACCAATTTACACCCAAATCCAACCATAACTTCGTTTATATCTAAAAATAACATATATTGAAACAAATCATACCATTGTCCTTTAAAACACAAAAAGGAAAACATTGAAATTCAAAAGATACAAACTCAAGGAAATATGAGATCCAAAAAATTCAGTGAACAAGCCAGATGATTCTCTTTTGTGTTGAATCCAACAAAACCGAATATGGTGGAAGCAACAAACCCCTTCATTAAAGCGGAAATTATGTCAAGCAATCGTGAAAGTCACCGATAGAAGGATAGAATAAGGAGAGGGTAGTGGCTAGTGTTGTCAAATCGGACAGTGTCGTGTTTTTGTCTGACACGACACGACACGACAAGGTTTTGTATAACACGAACACGACACAACACGATGTCGTGTTTTTTTTTCATTAACACGAAAACGAACTAATTAAAACCCGACAACACGACACGGCAAAGATAATATTACATAACTGTTAGTATATTCCATTCATACTTAAAGATATATAACACGATAAAAACGACAAACACGAAAAACCCGACAACCACATGCTTAATTGTGTCAATTTCGTGTCGATTTATGAACACGAACACGACATCATGTTTTTTAATCTTGACACGAACACGAATTCGAATTTTGATTTTGTCCCGATTTCGTTTCGTTTCGTGTATTTTTGTCGTATCGTGTCATAAATTGACACCCCTAGTAGTGGCATAGGAGGTGGTGGTGGAGAGAAGGATGATGGGGTGATGGCGATGACGACGATAGAGACAATAATGGGTGGTAGTGCACTCTCGGTGTAATAGTGGTATGCGATAAAGGGTGAGTGAGAAATCAGTTCGTTTGTGATGTCTGGTGACGATGGTGGAGCCACTTTAGGGTTAGGGCTTCCAGTAAACGGTGTGTGATGGTGGCATTGATGGTGACGACGAGATAAACTTAGGGTTTCTCATTTCGACTTAAGGTTGAAGCGGGGTGGTAGAGACGCGTTGGTGGAGGTAACAATGACATCATGGGGGTGGATGTAGTGACGGGGTAAGGAGGATGTTGGTTATACAGAGGCCTGTCATAGATTAAAGAGAGTAAGGAGGGAGACAGAAGAGATGTAGAGAAACTGCGGCTGAACATGTGTAGAGGATTTTAGGGTTTTCCATGTAAGGAAATCTAAGACCCTAAGTTACAAATTATACATTTGCATTGCAAGTATTGATTGTATATGGTGTTATAATAGTTGTACCTCTTAATTTTCAAGAAACATCTAATATGCTTATATATATATATATATATATATATATATATATATATATATATATATATATATATATATATATATATATATATATATATATATATATATATATATATATGCATGTGGATTTTTAATTTTAAAATTTGAAAAACATATAAATATTACTTATTTTTAAAATATTATTAAATATTAAATATCAAAATTCATGAGAAATTGATATATGTCAAAATAAATCTTTATTTATTATAATATAAAAACGTTTTTCAAAAATTATTGCAATCTTTTAAATGTTAAATTTCATAATTTTCAACTAAATGACATCATTTGTCTTTATATTCGTATCCTAATCTATTTTGTTTTTATGATGTTGGAATACTATTCTTTTTAGGGAATATGACTTATCAAGGTAATTAACTTTTCAGTATGTTCACATCTGGGTAACTATCTTTTTTTGTACATATCTAGGTAACAAACTTTTTGGAAATGTTCACATCTGACCATTATGACCTGCTATAGCAGGTTAAATCCTAGATGTGAACGTTTTCGACAAGTTTGTTACCTAGATGTGTACAAAAAAAATAGTTACCCAAATATGAACAAAATGAAAATTAAAGATTAAATTACATGAATGGTCCCTGTGGTTTGGGGGAATTTGTGGTTTTGGTCGCTAACTTATTTTTTTAACTTAAATGATCCCTACTGTTTATTTTGTTGCGCGTTTGGTCCCCGTCTCACCTAAAAATACTAATGTGCCCTTATTAATTTATTTTTTAATTATTTTTCTTATCTATGTATTTATTTTTTACATATTTAAAAAAATTAATAGACCACACATATTTGTATCTCCTCGGATGATCCCTACTGTTTATTTTTAATTAATTTATTTTTTTTAACTCGGATAATCCCTACTGTTTATTTTTGTTACGCGTTTGGTGTCTGTCTTATCTAAAAATACTATTTTTCCCTTATTAATTTTTTTAATTAATTTTCTTATTTATGTATTTATTTTTTATAAAAAAATTAATATACCCCATATATATGTATCTCATCACCGTAAACTTGAAACCACATTTGAGAAATTTAATTTGAGTCTTACCATTCACCATCTCATCTCTGATCATCCCCATCTTCTATTTCTTTTCCATCTTTAGTAACATCGACGTCTTCACCGTCCTTTTTTTTGGTACTTCAACTCTAGCGAACCAACACCATAACCTACTGTCTCTTCATCTTTAGTGGGTTGTGGTGTTGATTCGATGGAGTTAAAGGACCGAAAAAAGAAGTGATGATGAAGACATCGATATCACTAAAGATGAAAAATAAATAGAAGTTGAGAATGATGAAAGATGGGATGGTGAGGATATATAGATATATGAGGTCTACTAATTTTTCTTAAACATATTAAGCATAAGTACATAAACAAGTCAATTAATTAAAAAAAATTAATAAGGACACAATAGTTTTTTAAATAAGACAGAGATCAAGTTCGTAACAAAATTAAATAGTAAGGACCATCCGAG